TAATTTGCATTTCCATGTTGTCTAATGATGTTAACCTTTTTCTTTTCAGAAATACATTGGCCATTTGAATTTCTTCTTTTGATCTGTGTGTCCAATTTTTTTTGCCCATTTATTAGTTGAATGAGCTGTTTCGGTCTTAATTTTTGCAGCTCTCTATGTCTGCCTGTCTCTCTCTCTCTTTCTCTGTGTGTGTGTGTGTTGTGTGCGTGTGTGTGAATGTGCACCTGCCATGGTGTACATGAGGATGTCAGAAGACAATCTTGGGTGTCGGTGCCCTCCTTCCACCTTGTTTAAGGTAGGGTCTCTCTTATTGTTTGCTGTTGTGTTACATACTCTAGGCTAGCTGATCCATGAGCTTCTGGAGGATTCACCTGTCTCTGCTTCCTATATTGCTGTAGTAGTGCTAGGATTATAGACATACACCACCATGTCTGGCTTTTATATGGGTTCTCGTGCTCTCAACGCAGGTTGCCAGGCTGGCATGGCAAGTACTTTTACCCACTGAGCCATCTCCGTGGCCTACAGTTCTTCATGTATTCTAGATATTTACCCTTGTCTAACGGACAGTTGGAAAAAACTTTCCTGTTCTGTAGGTTCTCTTCCCTCTGTTTATTGTTTTCTTTGCTGTACAGAAGCGTCTTAATTTTATGCAGTCCTCTGTGTCAATTCTTCAAGTTGCTTTCTTTCTTTGAAAATCTTTGGTTTGCTGTTTTACTATACAGACAAAATGAACTCTTTCTTCACTCTCCTGTGCTCATCTGTTCCTCTCAAGAAGTTTACTCTTTCCCGTGCTTAGTTGGTTGAGACGGTTTTTATTTCTTTTCTGCTTATCTTTCCTTACTTAGAATTCTTTCTAGCATCTTCTGCAGTGCTGGTTTTGTGCTCATGAATTGCATTAATTTGTCTTTAAATATCTTTCATTGTTAATTTTTAGAGATAACTCTTTCCTATAGCAGTCTTTGTTGGACATTATTTCCTTTATGGGTTTGAATTTCATGCTTTCCTGGCTTTTGGAGTTTCTATTGAGAGATCTGATGTTATTCTGATGTGTTTGCCTTTGTAATGAGTTGGCATTTTTCTCTTTGAGATTTCAATATTGTTTCTTTAATTTCAGCTTCTGACCCCTTGACTCTGATTTGTCATGGAATGGTTCTTTTCTGGTCATTTTTAGGGTTTTTTAAATGTCTCTTCTACTTCAATATCCATTCTTTCCCTAGGTTTTAGTTTTCTGGGATCATATAATTGAATAGATTCTCTGGCTCTGGCTTTTGTGTTGGCTCCTTCTTCCACCCCGTGGGTTTTTAGATTGGTCTCCTCATCCTATTCCAGAGTCCTTGGAAGCTGTTTTCATATTTGTCTATTGATCTTTCTTTATTGGTGTTTGAACGTAGGATTTCCTCCTCTTGTTCTCAATCTCTGATATTCTTCTACATGGCCTAGTCGATCGATGACGATTTCCACTGTGTTTTTTGATTCACTGAGTTTTCCATTTCTAATATCTCTTATTTACTTTTTCAAGATTTTGATTTCCGTGCTGATTTTCTCTTCCATGTCGTTAATGTTTTTTCTCCATGTTGCTGCCTTTTCCAGCTGTTTCTGATCTGCTTCGCCAAGTCAGGATCGATTTCCTTACTATATTCATCCTCCTTTTTCTATCATCTTGGTCATTTTTATAATTTTTAATTCTTCTTTTGGCATTTTACCTACTTTAATATCTTTGAATTCAGTAGTTGGGGATCTATGATCCTTTAGACAAGCCACGTGACTTGCCTTTTGTATTTCTTGTATTTCTGTGTTGAGATTTGTACATCTATCTGTGTGGATCTCTGGTTTTATTTGGAGATCTCAGAGAGTAGTCTATGCTTCAAGGCTTAATTCCTAGCTTCACTATTAGATGGTGATGCTTCTGCTTCCCCTCCCAAGTCAGATGTCACTATAAAGTGTCCACTTGACAGAGATTTTATTTGTTTCAAGTAAAAGTTCCCTGCTCCCAGACTACCCAAATTGCCCCAGTTTAAAGTGGTTCCATAATTCCCTGTTCTTCTGTCCTTTTTCCACATTGTAAACTATTCAGCAACATAGACTGTATATACTAATAAAACTTGTGACATGAACATTGCTCCTCTAGAATTGAGTTCCAGGTCTTTCCAAGGATAAAGGAAGTTTTGTTTGTCTTTTTGAACTTAGATGAGCCCCTTTGTGCTCCCTGAGCTTAGAGGGCAGTGACCCTGCAGATGAACTTCCTAATGAGTGGTCTTTTGTGTTTCAAAGCTGCTTCTTGGTAGGTTATTAAAGCAAAGTCCTTCATTTTTAGACCACCAGCCCTTTACTAGAGCACATTTGAATTTTCAGCACAGGTATGAAATTTAAAATAAATTTGCTACTGAAATCTTCTACTGCTCCTTTCTTTCTTCATGATTTTGTTCTGAGGAATACCAAGAAAATAGAATTAAAAGGATAGGTTCTACTAAATTTCTCAAGAATAAAAAAAATTCAAGTTCAAGCTCCTCCCGTGACTTTCTGGCCTCTGTTCCTGGGCACTATTTCCCTGTTTGTACTTTATATTGAAGATACCAGTTCATCTGGAACAGCATTATGCTTTTACAGTCTAGTGCTCTTGCCCAGAATGCCATTTTTTCTCCAATTTAGCCTTCAAGGCTCACCTCATTCTATTTTCTCACTGTTCCCCTGCATCCACACATACTCTGCATGTGCTTCCTTTATTAGTACTTAGCATATGAAGGTTAGTTGTGTGTCTTCCTTACATACCCATTACCCTACTTTTGGTTGGGGCTTAGTTGAAATTTCTGAATCCTTTGGGTACCCTGAGTTTAAACTTGAGGCTAAGAAGGGGCAAAGGTGAGCATTTCAGAAACCCAGGAACATTATTTTTAGTCTTGAGTATGAGGTTTAGGAATGAGGGAACTGTAATATATAAGGAATCTTTCAACCCCTCTTCCTCCTTTATTTTTTAGTTCATTAACTCTTGGCTGCATCAGCCTGGAGCTGGAGGAAATGAACAGAGTAGAGAAATGCTTCACCTTTGGAAGAATTTTTGCCAAAGTGAAAGCTTCTTTTTGAGAGTAACCTAGTTTTGTATTGTCAGCATCCCCCTATGGAAAATAAAACAGAAACTTATTATTTTATTCCATCCCCATCTTGTCACTCGTTCACTTGTGGGTTCATTTCACCTGATCATCTGATTTATTTGACCAAGATTTCTTTGTGTATTATACATATGGTGTGTGCATGTATGTATGGATGTGTGCATGTTCATGTGTGTAAGGGTATGCCTTGCCATGTTATGTGTGTGGTGGCCAGAGGACAAACTCACGTTACTCCTTACCTTCTACCTTGTTTGAGACCTCTATTTTCATCCCCTGCTGATTATGCCAGGCTAGCTGACCTGTGGGCCTCTGGGGATTATCTTGTTTCTGCCTCCTATCCTGTCACAGGAGTGCTAGGATTTCAGACATGCGCTACCATTCCCAGCTTTATGTGGGTTCTGGGGATTTGAACTCAGGTCTTTATACCCATGTGGCAAACACTACTCACTCACTGAGCCATCTCCTTAGCCCTTCAACTAATACCTTTGAAAGACTACTTTGAATCGGTCAAAAGACAACTATTTCTTTTCCTGAAGTCCAGTTTAGTTAGTGATTTATGTTTTTTTCCCCTCTAAAGTGCTGAAAACCTTGATCATGCTAAAACAAGAAAATGTTCATATTTTAATATTATATAGCATTATTTCCTAACAGTATATGTGCAAATTTTTTCATATAAATGCATTTCTGTGTAATCTTATAACAAACCATTCTAAGTTTAAACACATGAAGTAATTCTAGTAACAGTTTCTGGTTCCAGGAACTTATACCATTCCAAAGTGCTAATGGGTATATATAACCACCTGTATATATATATATATATACACACACACACAGGTGCTTTCCCCCCTGTTAGTACGTGTCCTCTTTTCAATGTCTATCTGTAATACAAACCCAACAGCCATTTTCCTGTTCCTAACAAGTTGTACACAGAACATGCCATGCTCTGAGGACCAATGTGCGGTGTCCACAGGAGGCAACAAGAAGAAAGCGAATGCAGAGGGCATAGGCAAAAAGAGGTCTGGTCTGAGAATGGAACTCTGGGTTCTAATCTCATCCTTGCCCCTAAACAGCTGCCGTGGTCTTTCTGAGAAGAAGGGGAGCATGGTGATGCAGCAAAAGTTTAAAAACAATGGCTCCAGAATGTTAAAATATTGGGTTCAAATTACATTGTGATTGAGTGACCTTACAAATGACTCAATTTTTCTAGCCTCCTGCTCTCATCTCCCTGGTATAGAGAACAACTTTGTTCCTGAGTGGGCAGAATGATCGGCTGAGATTTGTGTAAAGTACTTTGCACTGCTTGCTTCTTTTCCAGTTCAGACAGAAATGATACAGATCACAAGGGGCTTAGAAAACATCATGTGAGGAACAGCTGAAGGAAGAAAGAACTTCATGTGAACAAAGACGACATAGGCAAAGCGTGAAATCTGTCTGCTTTTGAAGTTGTTATGTGGAAAGGATAATGAAACAAATGTGGTTTCAGAGGTCAGGGTGCCGTGGCGCCAGTAGGTGGGACTTCCAAGCAGGTCCAACCCTGAGCAGTAGCGTTGGATTTCTCGGTCTGGTTGCACATGCCTGGTGTTGTAGTACACCCAGGAGACCTCTCTGCTGGGGTGGGAGACAAGCAAGGATTCCAATTCCACTCACCCTACCCTCAGCTTCTCCTGCACTGTCTGTGTATTCCATTCATCCTCCAATGCCACTGTGATGCAGGACTTTGGGACATTAAGCTTTGTGCATGATGGAATTTGTAAGTTGCTACTACAGATGAGGCTTTTCATTGATCAGGGCTTTTCTTATTTTTGTTATGTTTTTGGTTAGGCACCTTCTTCCCAACTCAGACATGTTTGTTTGTATTCTCCTACTACCCAGTGATTTCTTTGTTCTTTTCAGCTTTCACTCTTGATGTCATGGGACTGTCAGAACATTTTACTTTTCTTCTGCAAAACTTCATCCTGTGAGTCACCGGTGACATGAGTTTTCCTCCCCCTTTCTTGGGGGGGTCTCTCTAGGCTTTCATGAACTAGAGCTTTCTGGGAAAAGCAGAGGATGCTTTCTGGTTCCCTTCCCGTGGCAGAGCATGATGGGAAGGTGAGTCTTCAATTACCTAGGTTTTTTTTTTTTAATTAAAAGAAGCATTTCATTACAACAGCATTAACCTATTCAATAACATTTTTCTGAGCTAGGGTACATCTCTTTCAAAATTGGCTGTACATTTCTAGGTTTACAGATGAATTATTACGCTTATATAATCGTTTACTCATTATAAACTCTATAAGACATAAAATTAAATGAGGTTCCAACGTTTAAAAAAGATCTCCACTGCGTTGTCAAAACACACAGTTTCATACAGAAAAATTCATTTCAGGGCTCTTGACATTGAGACGTTTTCACATGCATTTCTAATCTCTATATACATGACTATCACTGGTCACAGTCGCCCACCTTCTGAGCTCCTCGGCATCTGAGCATGAATACAAACTCATCAGGTAGACAGCCTTCCTCTCCCACTAGAGTCTCCATACTCTGCTATCCCTGCCACTGTCCACTGTGCTGTCAGCACCCCCATCCATTCCCCCCATCTGCCCTTCTGGTAAATCTAGTCAGCCAGAGGTCCCTGTTCCAGGAGGATCAGCTGTTCCTTATCAACGGCAATCCATTGTCAGTATTCCCTAGGTTTTAACTTGCGTTTTGGTCAGTCACGGTGATTGGGATTCGAGGCTAAAATACTCGCTTTTCTCCTTGCTGCCAGCGAAAGCAAGTGCTAACCCTATTCAGGGTTTCAGTTTCTTTCTCCATCTCACCTTTTGATTGACAAGAAGAGGTGCACTGACTTTTGTAGATGTGCTATGGAGGGATGACACACAGTAAACAATCATTTGAAGCCCTCAGTTCCCTTGTGCACTGTTGTTCCTATCCATGCTAGTGATTCCCTGTGTGTCATCTGCAGTAGCCTGCATCCTCACCAGAGCCTCTCGGTAACCATCCTCAAGAAGGGAATGCATCCTATACATGACATAGTGAGTCTTAGAGAAGCCATGTGACTATTCAAGCCACAGGACCAGACCTGGAAGTAGAATCCTGTGGATAATAAGGATTTGATTTCTTACTTATGGACCCTAAAGCCAGGTTCATGTGAATGGGAAGTGGAAGCTTCATCCCCCTCCACCTGGGCTTCTGTATTTAATTTCTACAAATCTTTTCAAGCCTATTTGAGTGGCAGGTACAAGAGGTGCAACACTCTTAGGAACCCAAAGCTTGCCTATAAACAGGTGGGATACAGACAAGTAGATGGGTTTGAGATGGAGTGATGTGTACTGTGATCAGAAGTCAGGTGCTAAAGGAGCACACAGGAGGGGCACCAACCTGGCCTTGAGAGGTTAGGGAAGGCCTGTGCTGCAGTAAGTGACATATAGCTTAGCATTCAAGAGGAAAGGGGGTCCCAGAAGGAAAGAACAGCACATGCAAAGACTCAAAGCAAAAGGAACTAAAAATGTTCAGAATGGCTGGTACCAAGGAGTTGAGCTTGAGGAAGAATAGGAGTTAGTTCATAGGCATGCTAAGGATTTTCAGCTTCAGCTAGTGAACAATGGGAAGTTGAAGGGGTTAAAGTTTAGGGATATGTTGGGTTAGATCTATAGGAAAATCACTTGGCAGCATGCAAAAGATGGGTAGAAGACTGAACACTTGCTGCTGACCACCACGCTACTCCTGTGAACACGGGTATAGTCACTTGTGCCTTCCCCTCCTTGCGAGATTGTTGTTAGGCCCTGGTGAGAATGCCAGACATTGCAGAGGACAAGACATCCTCACCACCCTGAGCTAGTGATTCCTTCATGTTTAGGAAGAGAATGAGAGGGGTTTTGTTTTGGTACCTCAGTATGTGAACTGTTGTGGAAAGGAGCATTAAATAAAATAGCAGCATCTGGGTGTTCTGTCTTGACAAAACCATTGGCATATGCCAGTCTCACTGGATGATGAAAACCTCCTTTGGCCTTGGTCTCCTAATTTGTCAAAACATAGGACCTACCTCAGCATCTTTCTGTGGGGAAGCATGTAAAGTGCTGGGCATGTTGGAGGTACCCAGTGAACAATCATTTTCTTCTCTCTACTTGCCCCCTTCCTTAACAGTGCTCTACCTCAGACTAAAAGCCAGAAATCTTACAGTCCTTATACTACCAGTGCAGTCTGACCCACTTCCTCTCTAACTTCCTCTTCCTGCTCTCCTGGCCCACTGTGAGGTACCCAGTCCTAAGCCAACTTGTGGTTTCACCCCCAGCTCAGGCTCCTCTGATATCTGTGTGGTTTATCTCTTCATCTTTCTCAGGTCCTTGTTCAAATGTCATGCCAATGAGGCCTCCTCTAACTGTTCTTGAAGACTCCAGCTTCTCTTGCATGTGATTCATTCCCTTCCTTCTGAGCTTTATTTTCTTCCACAGCAACATGTTACATAGTTTAGTTATTTAGATTTTTAAAATTAAAGACAATTATCTTTTATTATTTAGTTTGCTTATGTCTCTGCCCAGTCACATGTAAGTTCCACAAAGACAGTATATAGAACAGTGCCAGGCTCTCAGCTGGTTGAATGTAGGAATGATGTGGTCCTAGTGAGGTCAATCCACAGTAGTGGGAGCTGGGGTGAGGCTATGGTACTAAGGAGTCCCAGTTGCCCTCTGAGCACCCTCTTGCAGTTTGGCTGGATAGAGAGACTCCTGGCTACTGCCCAGGAAGAAGAGTTCCAGTTCTGTGCTGCTTTGGAAAATGAGAAAATTGCCTTCTACCTTGCTGACATAGGAGCTTTTTTTTACCCTTGGACATTTATACACATAAACACTGGTTAGTCTGCATTTCTACCTGGAGGTTGGGAACCAGTGTCCCCCCTTCAGCAGCCCTTCAGTTACCACTGCTGGACACTGAAGTTGTTTTTCTCGTTTGTTTTTGTCCTGTACCTGTCTTGAAATTAATCTCTTGGCAGTACAAGGAGGGCCTCTCTGGGGACACAGTTCTTAAAATGTGGACTGAATCCACTTCCTTGCCAACTTTTAGGTTCTGAGGAAGTTGCTGTGCATGAAAGAAGGGAAGACTGAGACGGCCGTATCTTGATGGTGCATGTTGAAACTGATTGAATCATCGATTCATTCATTGATTCATTCATTCATATATTATTCATGTTCACAGACTCACAGTCAAATATTGGGGTCTGAGAACAATTACAGCAATGGATTTCTGTCTATCCACTATTGTAATACCCTTGGACATTTATACACATAAACACTGGTTAGTCTGCATTTCTACCTGGAGGTTGGGAACCAGTGTCCCCCCTTCAGCAGCCCTTCAGTTACCACTGCTGGACACTGAAGTTGTTTTTCTCGTTTGTTTTTGTCCTGTACCTGTCTTGAAATTAATCTCTTGGCAGTACAAGGAGGGCCTCTCTGGGGACACAGTTCTTAAAATGTGGACTGAATCCACTTCCTTGCCAACTTTTAGGTTCTGAGGAAGTTGCTGTGCATGAAAGAAGGGAAGACTGAGACGGCCGTATCTTGATGGTGCATGTTGAAACTGATTGAATCATCGATTCATTCATTGATTCATTCATTCATATATTATTCATGTTCACAGACTCACAGTCAAATATTGGGATCTGAGAACAATTACAGCAATGGATTTCTGTCTATCCACTATTGTAATTACATGATAAATGAAATATACATATATGTAAATGAAATTATATATATGGAAGAGGCTTTTGCATCAGTCAAGTTTCTGCTGCAAATGTGAAACCTTAGTGGTTTCCAACAACAAATATTTTTTTCTTGTTTTCGTGTCTGTAGGTCAGCCAGAATGATCCTGCTTTAGGAGGATCAAGTTCAAGTCTGTTGAACTTGAAAGGAAAGGCATGAAGAGTTAGGAGCAATCATTCCATGTATTACAACCTTTACCTCTGGTTATGGAAGTTAGGAAAAGCTTCTTAGAGGTGGCAACTTGATTTGCTTTGAAGGCTGAAGAGTTTCCAAGGCAAACAAGCAGGCTCTAGCATGTGCTAATGTGAGCAATTTTAAAAAAAGAAAGTACTGAAATAATGGCTTCATATATTTAAGTAGTCACTGCAGAAAATATGTGAGAGCTATAAGAAAATGCAACAAAGGTCCTAAGAGTATTTATTTATGAAGTTCAAACTTCATGGAGAGATTGGAAAGAGGTATAACACAAAGACAAATGGAAAATATATAACCAAACATTTAACAACAAAAATGTGAACTCAGAAAAGTGGCAAGAATACATAGCGGCTAGTACAGCGTGCAAGATACGTTTTGTTTCATATTCATTATTATTATTTTTTGGTCTTTTGTTTTGAGACAGAGTCTCCCTGTAGCCCCAGCTGTCCTAGAACTCACTATGTAGACCAGGCTGGCCTTGAACTCACAGAGATCCACCTGCCTCTGCCTCCTGAGTGCTGGGATTAAAGGCATGCGCCACCACGCCCGGCTTCATTATTTTTTATTTAAACATTGCAATGTGTGAAGGACATCTTACTGTTAAGTATAAAGGAGCGGGCTGGGGGTGGGAGGTACCTGCGTGACAGCTTATAGCTAGAAAGCCAGTGGTCTGCAGTAGCTGCCCAGTAGTTCTGCTTTGCAAAGAATTGATGCGTAAATTCCACTTACTTCTGTACCCGCTCTATTTTCTTCTGCTGCTTTGAAATTTGCTTAAACATGTGGCTTTGAATGCCTGCTCTACATGTTCAGCTCTGCATATTTATTGAAAGGATCGGGACCTAGGAGTAGATCATCTCTAAAGTCTTGCCTCATAGCCTTCTTCAAGTTTCACCTTATTTCACATGTGTTAAAGCTTTAGGAAACAGGATTTTGATCTATGTTATGACTCAAAAATGCTGGCTTAGGATGGTAGGGTGTTCTGAAATTCTGTCTCCTTCCTTTCCCCTAGTTTATAGAGACATATCAATAAGTGCTCAGAAAGGAAAGGAGACGAGCTTGGCAGGTTCCTCCAGGCCCAGCAAAGGTGAGCAGTACCACTGTGCACAATAGCTGTGGCACTACTCTGCCTCTACCTCGTGTTCTCTTCTTGTGCAGAGGACAGACACTGCAGTGGAGTGCTCCTACCTGGGAAGAGGTGAACACCAGGAATTTTTATTTCCGATTTCTTGCCTGCAGTTTCTTGACAGCTGTGATCACCGTTCCCTGGTCTTATTGAACTTTAGCATCACTTTTAGTGAGGCATTTGTAGAAAGTGAACTTCCATTGCTCAGGAGGGTTGGGTTGTTCAACACTGACAGGCATCTTTGTGTGCTCCGTTTTGGTGGTCTAGAATTAGGTTGAAGCATTTTTATGACCATTTACCTTGAGTTCAGAAAGCCGGCAGAACTGGTTTCTTCATCTCAGGAAACATCACTATGGTCATTTTAAAATGTAACACAGCACTGCTTACAGGAATTGCCTCTCACTGACTGCTGTTTGCTGTCTCATGATCCTCCAGGTTGGGGATGTGCCAATGTCACTGTCTCTCATCAAGCTGATGATGAGGGTGAAGAGAGGATAGACTGGTCCAGAGAGGGTGGACATAAGGATGCCGCTGAAGGCCCAAGCAAGGAATCCAGTGTCCTCTTGAGAGCTTCTTCTGTCCCTCATCCCACGGACCACTGCTTTCTCCAGGGGCATGCCCTTATAATTTTGCTGTCAGCCGCCCAGAACTTTCATGGAGTCAAAACAAGACTTTTTCCAACAAACAAGATAGCAGTTTGTTTTTGCATCTTTTAATCCTCCTGGTTGTCGTCTTAGCTGTTTTCCCTTGAGAAGCCTAAACCAAGTTTGTTACTGTTATTTTTGTGGCACTCCAAAATGATTGACTTAAGCTTTCTGACAGATGAGGAACAAGAGGCCATTATGAAGGTCCTGCAGCGGGATGCTGCCCTGAAGAGGGCTGAAGAGGAAAGAGTCAGGTAAGAGGCCAGAGGAGTGCTCAGGCCTGAGGGAAGGAAGAGGAGGTCCACAGAAAATAGTTTTGTTTTGTTTTGAACCATAACTGGTAGTTTTGACTTGCAGCCTAAACTTATGGGTTCCAATTTTAGATTTACTTCCTGGACAGGACTTTTTCTCCTGGTGTCTCTTAAATTACCTCTGGACTCTTGCCAGAAATAGGGGCTTGATGAAAAAGTTCGCCAGGCATGTAGCGGGTCCTCATAGTTCAAGCTACTTGGCAGAATGAGGTTGGAGAACCACTTGAGCCCACAGTTTGAGATGAGTATGAGCGATACAATGAGCCTCTGCCTCAAGAAACAGAAACAATCCCCTCTATGCTTTCAACTTATTAAATACTTTCAACTGAGATATATAGCCAGGCATGGTGGCTCATGGTTGTGGTCTCAAAACTTTGGAGGCTGAGGCAAAATTGCCTTGAGTTTGAGACCCTGTCTCAAACAGACAGACAAGCAGGCAGGCAGACAGAAAAAGGAGCCAGGGAGATGGCTTAGTCCGTTGAATGTTTGCTATGCAAGCATGAAGACCTGAGTTTGGATCCCCAGAACCCATGTGAAAAACTGGGTGGCCACATGTACCACACTCCCAGTGTTAAGAAGATAGGGATAGAAATATCTCTGGGGCTGGATGGCCAGTCTAGCTGAATCACTGAATTCTAGGTCCAATGAGGGGACCTTGTCTGAAAAAAATAAGATGGAGAGCAATTGAGCATGTCAAACTCTGGTCTCCACCTGTATCTACATGCATGCACACAGATACATGGACATGCTCTAAATAAATACAATGTAAAAAAGATAAAATAAAAAAAGGCAGTTGTCTGTGTGTGTATATATGTGTGTGTGTCTGTGTGTATGTGTGTGTGTGTGTGTGTGTGTGTGAGAGAGAGAGAGAGAGAGAGAGAGAGAGAGAGAGAGAAAGTATATTTGAGACACATTCTTTTGATGTAGTCCAGGCTAGCCTCACACTCAGGACCCTCCTATCTCAGACTCCCAAGGGATAGGTCTATAGGCATGCTTTACTATGCTTAGCTGTCTTTATATTTTTATTTTCACTCATTTTGGGGGACACTGAATTATGAACTAAGTTAGATATTTTAAAAATTTCTAACATTAATAAAATAAGAGTATCCTATTTCTGCATAATTTCAGAAATGCTAAGATTGGTTTTAAGAGTAAAATTAAAAGTGCTCCCTAAAGAGGTGACGTGTTCATTTGATGTAAGTCCTGCAAAGAGGAGAGGGGGCTTTGACCCGGTCTCCTTGCTGGATGGAACCTACTTTGCTCCCTGTCAACATCTGTATTACTATCACTCACCTCCATGACAGAAAGAACACCAGAACTGAATGACTGGGCCAAATTGTTCACTCTACTTCTCCACAGACCCGAGGTCTCTAGGACCTGCTGTCTCTGTAATCTTGGGCTTTGAAAGCAGTGAAAAACTTCATCAGTGTAGTTGTTTTAACTTTATGACCCCTGTCCACGTTTTCCAAAAGGAGTAACAAGCCATGTTCTTACACTTCAAGCACTACAGTGGGTTTGATCACTGCTACTAAGAAGAAGGGTACTATGTGCTGGAGAGTTTCTGTTGTCAACCTTACACATTGGGAAGAGGGAACCTTACCTGGGGAAGTGCCACTGTCATACTGGCCTGTGGCCATGCCTGTGAGGCGTTTTCTTGTTTGTTGAGTAATGTGGGAGGGCCCAGCTCACTGTGGGTGATATCCCTCATGGGTAGGTGGTCTTGGGTTGTATAAGAAAGCAGGTTGAGCACAGGCCAGAGGAGTGAGCCAGGAAGCAGTGTTCCTCAGTGGGCTCTGCTTCAGCATTTGTCTCAGGGTTCCTGCCTCCTGTTCCTACCCTGGGTTCCCTCAATGAACTGTGACTGGGTCATGTAAGCTAAATCAATACATTCCTCCCTAAGTTGGTTTTGGTCCGAGTGTTTTATCACAGTAACAGAAACAAACAAGAACAGCATATAAATGGTGCTTAGCAGGTTACCAAGGGCTAAATATGCTCCTTGTTTCTTACGATCTCACACTTTTGTGTAATTGGGAGGTGGAGTGGAATATGATGACCCCATTTGACTGCTTGTGAAAATCGACTCAGGTAGGTCAGGTGACTTGCCCAAGATTATATAACCAGTAGATGTCCCAAGCAAGAGTCAAATCCTAGTCTCCACTGACTCCTCCTCTCCCTGAAACCTGTCAGTGGGGGAGGGGGTATCTTTCAAGATGTGGCAGGACTAGGAGCTATGATCATGAGAATGGGATCACACTTTCTCCCCAGTCCCTTCTAATGCTCTGTGTGCCTGGATGGGGCCCATTCTCAGTAAGTTGGGTGCCCTGAGCAGTCAGTCTCCCCATGAGAGGTGGACTGACAGCAATCCAGCCTTAGAGCCACACATTCACAGCTGACAAAGCCCTTTGCTGAGCTTTATCCTCTTATGATTCTCATGACAACCCTGAGCTTTGGCAAGGTTGAGATTGTACCAGTGACTTAGGAGCACAGCACAGGCAGGCCACAGCCTCAGAAACAGTTTTGCAGACTCTCCTTGGATCTGCTGTTTCAGAAGGTGCCTAGCAGCTGCTGAAGGGTCATCTCTGGTTTTGTTTGTTTTCTTATGAAATACATCATAAGAAGAAGCCTGGAGTTGTGTCAAGCCCAATCTAGCAACACTTCTTGGGGAGTTTTCTAACTAGGTACCAAGAATTTCTTGTGAACTTGACCATGGGTGGGTCCAAGACCTTAGGACTAGTGGAGGTGAGCACCAAAGGAGGGCAGAGGGTTATAAGACTTGGATGCTAACAGAGCTTCGCTTGGTGTGTTCCACACAAGATGAATCTTCTCTGTAACCAGTGAATACTGAACTGCAGAAACTTGTAAGGATGGTTCTGGATCTCCTCTGCTCCTGGGCCAGAACCAGGCTCTGGACTCTGAGAATAAACCTCCATGGGCTTTGGTTCATCAGTTGCTTTGCTGTCCCCCACTGTTGGCCTTTTCTCCTTTGTCAATTATGGTTTGACAACTCTGGTAAGATTTTATTGTCATTGTTCTTGGTCTGTATATCAGTCATTTCATAGACAAGAAGGTAAAGCAGAGGGAAATGAGTTACCCAGGATCACACAGTCAGTCAGTGCCCAAGCCATAGGAGAAGCCCTTGGTCTAGCGCTTTGCCCCCATCCCATACTACTCAGGGAAGACTTTCTTCCAGAACTAAATAGTGAGAATTCAGCCATGAAACAGGGACCTTGGAGTCAAATTCGTCTCTAATAGCAATCAGCTGTGGTTCACTGGACAAGTAACAGCCTTTCTGAGCTTCAATTCAGAGACTGAGAACGGCTGGGTCCTGACCAAGTAATAATTAGGTAAAAGTAATTGCTATCTTCCTGGCATGTGAAAGATGGTGGGTGCATTTGAATTCCCCCTTTAGCCACTCAACCTGTGCCTTTCAAAAAGAACAGAGAATTCTGGTTAGTAGTTTGATTCCTTAATAGGGAATTACTTCCAAAGTCTTCATTATTTAATGCTGTAAAATTTAATTGTATATCTTATAAGTGAAGAAATTGTTCTGGACAATGATAGGAATGGAATTTGAGGACTGAGTGAAGACATGAACCCTGCCCTCAAGGAATGTAGCCTTCCATGGCTTTTACCCATTTAATGGATTATCAATTGCAAATTGAAAGTCTAATTTTTCCCCTAACATGACTTATACCTCTAGTTCCCCTCTAGTTGGTGCATGGATTAGCTATACCAGTGATATAAAAATTATACTACTAGCATCATTAGAAAGACAAACCTGCCATTTATATTTGAACTTTGCATTTGTGTGTGTCTGTGTGTTAATGCAGGCATGCGTGTGCCACGGGACACTTCAGGAAGTCAGAGGACAACCTTGCTTCTCTTTTACCTGGTTTGAAACATAGTCTTCTTCGTTGCTCACCACTAGGCAAACCAGAGGGGTAGGCCATGGGGTTCTCTTGTCCCTGCCTCTCATCTCACTGTAAGAACATAGGGGCTACAGACATGTGCTATTGTACCCAACTTTATATGGGTTCTGGGGATTTGAACTCAGGTCCTCATGCTTGTGCATCAAGCACTTTGCCCATTGAGAAGAACTTTACCCACTGAGCCATTGCTTCAGTTCCCACCCCACCCCCTTTTTTAAAATTTATTTTTATTTTATGTGTATGAGTGTTTTTTGATTTTTTAATTATTTATTTAATAGCCACATGATTAGAAGAAGCATTTCATTACATCATTAACATATTCAATAACAATTTCCAGAGCAAAGATGCATCTCTTTCAAAAGAGGCTGTAAATTTTTAGGTTCACAGTTGAATTAATACAGTTATACAATATTGAACTCAGTATAAACCCTGTAAGACATAAAATTGAATGAGTAAATGAGTTTTTAACCTTTAAAAAAGATCTCCATTTCATTTTAAATTATAGAGTGTTTCATAAAGAAAAACTCATTTTTAATGCTACTAACACTTAGATGTTTGCACGTGTCTCTAATCTCTATGTATCTGATTATTACTAGTCACATTCAGTTACAATTGGATCCTTGGCACCTGAGTATGGATATAACATCATCAGGTAGATTTCAATGGTAATACTTATCACCTCTACTAATTAACATGAAGCAAATTTTTGTCTTTTTTGTATTTCATACAAACAATCATACACACAATTGTATTTCATCACAAACAATCTTATTCATCTATAGACTCACTTGCAGCATTCAGTTGTCAATATTCCTTTAGATAAGATTGGGGTCTGCTGTTCATTTTCCCAGTTCTATGCTGGGTTACTGTCTGGGAGTCTCTTGGGCCACCTGGGCCAACAACTCAAAGGAAGGTATCTCCTGTCTGGCATTGTTTCTTGTTATATAGCCTTTAGCTATACACATGGACTCTTAAAAAATTATATTGACCCCTTTAATCTTTGGTTATACTTTC